TTCCATAGATCTTACAGTTACATGGTAGGTATACTCAGTAAATATATATAACATGGTGTTAAATGTAATCACATCTGAATTAACATTTTGCTTTAAGTTGTATACATTGTGTTCTGTTGATCTTTATGCTGCTATTATAATTACTGTGATGTCCTGATTAGATATACATGAATCATTTCTTTTTGTTATTTTCATAGCATTGCCACCATGGGCTATGTGTAAACAAAGAAATGGAAACACGTCCTGTAGATGGTGAATGGGGACCATGGGGACCTTACAGTTCTTGTTCAAGAACATGTGGAGGTGGAATCAAAAGCACAACCAGGCTCTGTAATCGCCCCGAGTATGTCTTTTTTATGTCACTGTAAATTAAGATTATCTCAAGGCACCAGAAAATAAACATCAGTTTCATTCACTTCTAAACTGGAGGCCAGTCTGTAAGTCTCCAAGATTCAGAAAACTTCTGGAATATTTTAAGCCACACTACTTTATATTTTGGTAGATTTAGACCTTAAAAAAAAAACAAAAAACAAAACAAAAAACAACAACAAAAAAACCTAAAACTAAATAGAGAAAATAACCTTTAGCATCTGAGTTGAGACAGAGCCATTTTTTTTCCTGATTTAGTGTAAATTTGATAAATAGTTATGATGACAGTAATATAATGGCATTTTTAAATTTACTGTGCTTCTATTGCAAGATCCTTTCTCCTTTCAACTATGTCTTGGCTGTCCTGGACAAAACATGTAGTTTCGTTACTACTTGTTTACTGTTTTGTGTAATTTGACATGTCCTATTTTCTTTCTCTGCTTCTTATGTTGTAGACTTATCAGTGTGTAGCTTGAATAAGTACTGAAGTGTATCTCCCCTCATCGCTATTTAAAATAACTTAGAGAGTCCATAAGATTTTTAAATAACGTTTCTGTTGTTGTGTATAAATTGGTAAGCAATATGACACTTTTCACTTAAAGTCTAGTGACAAGATTTTCTTCTACCATCTCAGAAGGTGAATCTTGTTTATCTTGGCAGGTGAATTAGTTAACTCACCGTAAAGTTCTCGAGTTTCCCCTTGCATCATTACATACAATGGAGATGGCCAACAAGATTTTTTAACGCAGAAATGTGACATCCTCTGAATAAAATCTGAGTTTATTTGAATTTTAGATAGCTAATTATGCTAGAAGTCTTTATGTTAAAAAATACTGAGAACCAGAGTTTTTGTTTTCCAGCATAAGTGGAAATAGAGATGGGTGAATATAGATTGATACTGTGAAACTCTTTGAACTGAGCGATTAATAGGATATACATGACAAAGATGCATATATATTTCTTTTTTTATTTAACATGATATTATTTTTCTTTGTTATCATTTTTGGCTCACTTTTCCAGAAAATTAGCAAACCCTATTTTTAAGCTTTAAAATAAATTCCCATCATTAATTAGGTCCTTGTTAGTTAATCAAGTCATAAATAAGATAACAGTTCTACCCTCCAGGCCACAGTTGCCACTAAGATGGATATCTTTAGTCTATTAGCCATAGAATTGCTTTAAAATAATGCTACATGTGTCTGCTATGTACAAAGTGTTAGTGGGACATCAGTGATTTTCCAGAACCTGGAAAAGAATGGAAGTTTAGAAGTAAATGGCAGAAATAATATTGTACTGATGTGCTTTAAAATGTAATGAATTTGACTAGGCCAAGAAACGGAGGAAAGTACTGTGTGGGCCGCAGGATGAAATTTCGATCATGTAATACTGATTCATGTCCAAAAGGCAAGCAAGACTTTCGTGAGAAGCAGTGCTCTGATTTTGATGGTAAACATTTCAACATCAATGGTCTTTCCCCTAATGTGAGATGGCTTCCAAAGTACAGTGGGAGTAAGTAATTAGAATATTTTTTGATGT